CTGTAAGACTCTGTTTCTCCATATGCACTTCTTCAAGAACAAACAACTTGCAGGCTTCCTTACAGGCACACACATACACACTATCGCATTCATACATATCTTCATGTAGGCATGTGGGAGAGTGAGACAAAAAAATAAAAAATAAAAAAACACAAGCCAACGTGCACCAAAAAAACACACATAAACACACACACACAGACATAAGCCAACGACTGATCACTTGTAAATTCCCAAGGCTAAATATATGCACACAAACACGCATTCTCATGGCAAAAATGGCACAAGCACACCACTGCAACACAAACACGGCACGTTCTTCATGTTTTCCACTGGGTGACATTCAGAACTTTCTTAACATTGTCTTTCTTTGGTCTCTTCAGGCTCATTCCAATTCCAAACACTAGGAAAGAGGTTACACTATTCACAAGTGAGCAAAGTGACTTTTCTTACCATTCTATACTGTATTATAACACTGTGACAAGCTGAAAGCATATATGTATGTACTGTACTGTAACTACTGAGAAGGAGTCAATGCATTGATAAAAAAAGCATGTCTGGGTTACATGAGATTAAGCAACAGAGTACACAGAAATAATAAATAGTTACACGATGAATGCTAACACTGAAATGCAGGTTCCACTTACGATTCATTAGGTTGTTGAAACACTAGTAGCTCGATGCTAAGCTTTTGCATTGTTAGTGAGTTACTGAAGCTCTATGCTGAATCTACTGTGGCCTGGTTTCCTTCCAGCCAAATCCAAGTCGGGGAGTGGGAGGGCGACAGAAATGCCGGGGTCCGCTAGTGGAAGAGGGTGACGTAGGAGAAGGATGTAGATGTCCCAATTTAAAAATAATATATATTTTTAATCTTGGTGGGATCACACTTATCGTCAATGATCTGTCCTCTCAGCTGACGAGTCAACCTTTCAGAAAAGCCGGYGGGTTTTCCTCGTGTTTTCTCTCCTCAAATCATCAAGCTCTCCTTCACATCCTGAAAATAATACAAGCACAATCATGAAATTCTATCTTTCTTGTATCTTTGATCTAATATTATAAATGATTAAACGTGGAATAAAAAATAAATAAATACAAAAATTCTGTGGCATAAAATGATGGCTGGAACGAAAGTTTAAGTGATTATGATCTAAAATGTTTTAAGTTTTTATCAACTAGAGGTTAGAGTTAGATTTAGTAGGGTWTCAACGTTTTCTTTAAATGCATACACCAGGGATGGGCAAGTTAAAGCCATTTATCACATTTAATAAACGAGAGTGCAACTGCTACACATGCATTAGAGCAGGAAATGTGTTACACTGTTTGTTGGTTTAATAAACACAAGTATWCATAAACCTTTTTAAAGTGGCTATGCGGCCCTCTGGTAGTGTCAACAAAAAAATTGTGGCCCTTTCCGTCATTTGAGTTGCCCATCTGTGGTATGCATGGCACCTTTCTTTTACTGTGCACCTGAGAGCTGTTTTTTTTACACTTGAGGTTCTTGGGCCCACCTCCACAGCAGTGACTCCACTCTGTTGATGATGTCGGCCAGATCAAAGGGCAGAGGCATGCCGGGGTCATCCACACCCCAGAAGGGTCGATCCACTGGGGCCTCCTCGGGGGATAACGTCTGGGCCAGATTCGAGTGGCACCTGAGGCGACAGGACACAGGAAACACACAAACCCATTAACTCCTCCTACCCATCAAAACCAACTGCTGGAAACACACATCAGCGTCAGGGCAGGCCTCTCACTAAACCTTCAACTTGTGTTTTTGTGTTGCCCAAAGAAATCACTAGTAATKGTGCTTTTCTCGCCCCTGTATGCATGCAAAAGACAGAAATGTTGGCACATAAAATGATTTATGTTTTAGTAATATAAGTACATAGTAATGCTCAACAACCATGGATCTGTTAGCTGAAATTTAAACAAAGATTGGTCTAGCTAGTCAATCTATATTGACTGAAAAGAGATTTATTAGGGTCAGAAATGTCAAGCTGTTTAGTCAGGTAAATGGGAATGCATCTCACTGTGTGTGTAGAGCTCTTCCTAAAGACACCATTTAAAGTTTGTGAATGGCTTGATGTGATTGTCTAACCCTAAAATGTAGTTTAACACAATACTCTGAGACAAAACAAAAAACAACAACAAACTATACATGTGTTTATATCAGTACGATCTGTCCAGGAAACATTTTTGGTATACCTGTTTTGTACGTTTGCGTGTTTTTATTTTCATTTTTAAATACTGCTGAATGAAAAGGGTGTGAAAGAAACTGAGAAAATGATGTGTCAGAAAAGGATTTCCGAAGAAACAAATGACTGCAATAGTGTTAAAGTGATGCAAAAATATGACACCTATCATGACTAATGTCCTGTTCATTCATAGACACAGAGCAGGATTCTTTCAGTATCACTCTGTTGTAATCATGACACTTGTTAAAAAAACAGCCTTTTCCATGTAACTGGATGACTGTTGTGTGATTAATATTTCTGGGGTCAGATGTAATTTCAGCAGTATTTTGAACCTACCACAGACCTCGGCCACATCTTTTGTCAGACCTGTGTAAATATTTACTGCTGTGACTGTTTTGCTCTCTGCTGTCACTGTAAATCTGCCCTCCCTCTAGCTCTTGACAGACGAGTGTGACCTCCTGACCTGGAGGTGCAAGAGGGAGCGGTTGAAGATGGCATTTGTATGTTGTGTGTGTATTGTGTGATTGTGAGTTGTGGCTTCCTGAGCCACAAGAGTTATATTTCTCACTAAGTCATTATGCCAGTGCCTGTCATATCTYTTTACACTAAAAATGTCCTAAAAAAAMCCCTCAAACATGCCCTTCATGTGTGCACATACACACACAAACACAAATTGTAGCCAGCAACTGAGCGAGGGGATGATGAGGGTACAAAACGACATAGAGATAGGTATGGGGGGGCGGTTATAGATGGGATGAGGGGATGTTAAAGTTGTTAGGGGACAGCCGGGGGCTGCCACAATTTGTTGTAATATATTTTCTCCGGAGCCACTTAATGTTCCACTGGCTCTGGGCCTAAGTGCTGCATTTTGGTGCGGTTAGCCCTTTAAAGAGCTGCTGCATTATGGTGGTGAGGAGCAACATTAACATCCACTGTCCAATATATCTTTTGGCGCTTTGGATCAGGGCCTGATAATAGCATCTGTTAACATGCACTAAGTACCATTATGTAGCACATCACTTCATAAATAATACGATTAGGCGACCTTGGGGCTTTGCGACGAGCCGTGTGTTTAAATGTTCTCATCATTTATTTAGGGAGCGAATTAAAGGAAGCACCACTTCAGAGAAGGCGAAGGAGGACATGGCTGGCATATGAATCTACACAGTGTGTAAGTGCAAACTGACCCAGACAACGCACTGACACACACATGCACAAATACACTGTGAGATTCTGCTGACATCAGCTTAAGGACATCACATTCAGGGGAACCCAGGCTTTTGATTTGGTCTGAGTAAGTATTCATGTAAGAGAGCTGTGAGAGAAAACACCTTTTTTTTGCCCTGCTGCCCTGAATCATAATGAAAGACTACATACCATAAAATAAATATAGACTGGCCACCTTCAACAGGCCTGATCCATTTTTTTGACAAGAAATTTTGCAGCATTACACTGCAAATAGAAGGCTCATGGTTTTTCAGAGATATAAAGATATTAAGACTGGAAGACTATCAAAGATAATATGGTGAAGGTAATTCAGCACACACTTGTACACAATCTGCCACTGTTCCCAGAATACTGTCCCCTGACTGCTAAAATGGAACCAAACAAATAGTCAATACCAGGCGAGGTGCCTTAAGCTCTCCAGGGCTCTCACTAGATATTCTGTGTAAGCCACAGTGGCGTACAAACAAGGCTCACCGAAAGACTTTCCCATGGCAGAGCCGTCCACCTTAAAGTTAAGGTCAAAGACAAAGAGGCGTGCATGTGCGTGTGAGTGAGTGTTCAGTGGTGCTGGGAGGGAGATTTTAAAGAGGTAGCGAATGTGTTTGCGAGTTCAGCCTGTTCCAATGGATTAACCCCAGACAGATATGGGCCTAACTATCCCATCTGGCTCTCGGTCAAGAAAGATTGGCAATACAATCACTCATTTCAATTTGCCCTGAAACCTTATAGCCTGGCAGGCCCCTGCTCAAATGGTATGCTAATGTGAAAGGTATCTAGGATTCTATCCCCTCTATTCCACAGAGGCCTTTACCTCCATGCAGCACAGTGCACTTGAACTGCGGCTGGGGCAAAAGCTCCACGGCCCTCATTGCAATAAGGGCCCAAGTCCCCTTTGCGCTTAAACTAACCACTTTAGCTAAAGTGAGTGTTAATTATGGACAGGCAAAGCAGTCAATAAAAGGTTAATGTAAAAGTCAAAGGATAAATTCCTTTAAGCATTGCATCATTCCACCATCTCTGCGACCAACACACTACTCACAGGTCTTGTAATCAATACGTTTTACTGTAATGCGCTCCCTATTGATTTCTCGCCCCCTCTCCACAGTCCAAGCTCCATCACTTTGGTAGAGGAAGGGGAGGGAGAGAGAAAAATGAATGAATAAAATGATTAACCTCAGTTTCACTTTGTTGTTTCACTCTTTGAGWCTTTCTAAATGGCTTGTTAGAAGAGTGCAGGGTGGTCCAATATTATCACTGCCTCAGATCACCACCAACCCAATCATGAGCATCATCAGCCCACTCAATCTCTGGTCAGTTTGTAATTGTGTAGCACTACATTCAAAAAGGGTCATACATTAAAAGGCCCTCCAGTCTTAACAGGGTGGAAATCCGCCTAATAGACAACATCAGCGCTTCCGACTCCAGCAATTACACTGATAAATGCACAATTGTGTCAGGGCAAGTGAAAAATAACCCAAAGAATGTAGATAGGAGACAACACTTACTGCATTATTGCTACAGGAGGTCATTTGTAACCACAAGGGACTACACCATGTGGCTGCTTGACATAGTCTTACAACAATCCAAATCTCTTTTCACACTGGTCTATTGTTTTATGTGTAGATATGTAAATCACTTATATGCAATAAACTACAGGTGGTACCCTGATCAAATATTTAATATGTCTAACTATATGTAAAACAGGGATAAATGAGAATAAGTTTGACTTTAAAATTACTACAAGTAGCCTACCTGAGTAGTTGTTTTGTCAGTGTGCCTCAGGGCAGCTGTGGCTACAATGTAGCTTACCATCATCAGTGGGTGAATGTCTGTACGTGTAAAGCGCTTTGGGGTCCGGAGGGACTTGATAAAGCGCTCTATAAGTTCAGTCCATTTACCATTTATACCTTCCATTTAAAAGTCACATTATTAGTATGGTTAGTGCACACAGATTCATTTAAAAAAATGTGTCTGTTCCTGCCCATGGACTTAATTATATCAAGAAATGCAGATCACATAAAGATAGTGTGAACATAAATCCATCAGTCTTGTTATTGTCTGATCTGTACATGTCTGTGCTGATCAAGGGAGATAAAACACTTCAGATCATCTGCTTCCTCATGCTCTCCCAGTGTGTCATGTGCTTCTCTAGCAATTCACTACAGGTGTGAATTTTTATGGTTTTGGCATCCTCAGTCTCYTTATAGCTAAGAATGCAATCAAACAAGTCACAAAAACCAGGTATGTTTCTCATAAATCAGAATGTCCCTGAAAGAACAGCATGTAGCCATTCTTTAAGGGAAAATAATGACCAATGATTGAGGCTTATTATCTAGCATATTCTGTCTGTTTACAACATTGTGTGCAAAACTACCAACTTTTCATGTGTCTTTGTGTCTCATTAAGTTATGTTGTTAAGTGAGTGTGAGAAAGACAGACATATCACACTGATTTACATACTTTTATCTGAGTAACTTTCTGAATTCAGAGGGATCAACCTGTGAAAACTTTGAATCACAGCAAACACTAAGGYCCAATGGAGCAACTAGGCTCAGGGGGTTGGAGATTTGATCCTCAGCTCATCCAGCATGCCCAATGAAGACATTATAAATACTACTGTCACCTATACAGCGGGTAAAATAAGTATTGAACACGTCACCATTTTTCTCAGTAAATATATTACTAGAGGTGCTAAAGACATGAAATTTTCACCAGATGTCGGTAACAACCCAAGTGATCATACATACAAAGAAATCAAACCATAAATGTCCAGAAATGAAGTTATTTGTAATAATGTGGAATGGCACAGGGAAAAGTATTGAACACACTTACTGAAATTTATATAATACTTTGTACAAAAGCCTTTGTTGTCAAAGACAGCTTCAAGATGCCTCCTGTATGGAGAAACTAGTKGCATGCATTGYTCAGGTGTGATTTTGGCCCATTCTTCCACACAAACAGTYTTCAAATCTTGAAGGTTTCCTGGGTCTCTTCTATGAACTCTGATCTTTAGTTCTTTCCATAGATTTTCTATTGGATTCAAGTCAGGTGATTGGCTGGGCCATTTCAGCAGCTTTATTTTCTTTCTCTGAAACCAATTGAGAGTTTCCTTGGCTTTGTGTTTGGGCTCATTGTCTTGCTGAAATGTCCAGCCACGTTTCATCTTCATCATCCTGGTAGATGGAAGCAGATTTTTTTCAATAATGTCTCTGTACATTTTTTCATTCATC